TTACCTAGGCAGCTTATGAGACTACATGAATTCCCAAAACCTGGAGCTTAATAGAGAACTGGGAAACTAGTTCCCCATTGAGTCCACCTTACTTTTGATTGACAGCACATGGCAGTGGACTGCTTTCAGATCCACCCATGACTGTGTCATCAGTCACAGGCAAGGCGGACCTGATGAGGAACTAGTCTCAGAGTTCCCCAACAGGTGCAGTGGGGATTTGAATTGTCTGGTGGATGGAGCCTGATGTGGAGATGTTGATACGCAGCAACGGAGATCTGTTGACAAGCGGTAATATTAAGTGAATTGCATGCAGAAAAATGCAGCATGTCTGCATTGTTCTGCCCTGCATATCACTGTAGCGTTGTGGTGTGAATGAGGCGCATAAAAACAGTTGTATGCTATGTGCTCTAGAGGTGACCTGTGTTTTTTTGTAAAAAATACTCGTGTCATTGCTTATAGTGTGAATCAGTCCTAAGGCCTCATGCACACTGACTTTTTTTTTCTTTTACTCCCCTAGAAGTTTCCTCCTGGTAGCAGCATTTTGACAGAAATAACACCTGACGCTTGTAAAAGTATGTACTGCGTTTACACCCGTCAAGTGTTTGGGAGTTAATTGGCCAGAATAATTTTTTTCTGGCCATTGAAATAAACGCTGAAGTGCTAAACGCACCCAACGTTTATGCACGTCAGTCGTTTTTTGTGGGGGTTTTTTTCTGCCAAAACGCTGCTGCTCCAGGACTCACTGGCAGTGTGGTTTTTTTTTTTTCCTCCTGCCTACACATAGGATAGCATGCAGGGGAGTTTAGAGGCAGTAGAAAAAAAAGAAATGCCTGACGCCCCTAGAGGTAGCTTTAAAAACGCCCAGTGTGCATGAGGGCCAAAAGAAAAAAGTGGGGGGTTTGTTGCTTTTTTTTTTTTTTTTTTTTTTTTTGCCATTTGAAAATATACTTGTCAGGTGTTTTTCTGCCATGTGTAGACCTGACAGGAAGTAGGAGGACATCTTTCCAAAGGAAGTTAAAATGTCCCATTTTGAAGGCTTCCCCTCTATTCCTCTTCTGGTGACAACTTAGAATGTAGAATTTCCCCTCACTTCCCAGTGAAACTCCATAGGGGGGGGCACAGAGAGATTTAAAACTTAGAAGTTGCAATCTCTCATCACTCTATCCAAAAAAATTTGCCTATAGATCCTGCCTTTGTATACCATAAAAAGTTTAGTCTTAGCACCGTTAGAAAGATTTGTGCTGTAGAATTGCATGTGTGTTTTTTTTTTTTGTTTTTAACAAATGTTTGAGTATTTGCAGACAAATGTACATTCACAAAGAAACATTCTGAATACAGGAAAAGACATCCCAAGTGTCTCGTCTGCAAATAATCAGTATAAAATAGGTTACATTGAAGGAATGTAGAGAAGAAGCATTTACATGTATGGTGAATGTATCCAAATTTTTTGAAAGATAACATATTGTCAGTTAGCTCAAACTGAGCTGTAAGTCACACAATGTTTCAACCTATAGAAAAGAAAAAGGGTTGTTGTGCTCACTCTTATTGTAATCATAATAAACTGAAGGGTTTGTGCCTAAAAAAAAAAAAACAAACAAAAACAAAATCTTGTCCCACTTATGATGATTACACCGTAAGTTGGTAGAATATCAAATACAGCCAGCACATCCATAAAAAAAAACAAATAATGGGGCTACGGTGTTGGATCCACTATCAAGAAAAGAAGAGAATCCGCCTTGTCCTGGGTGTCTAGCCACGGTCCCCAAAATTATGAATTTTCCTGGGCAACCCCTAGCCTCATATGTTGGCTTGTACAGAGGCAAGGTGTGATTTATTAATTTCTTCCACATCCCTATATGCAGAGATTCAGTAGACAGCCATTGGAGGGCTGTTCATTTCCTAGCATTAATTTAGCAAAAACCTCCAGAACTGTTTGGACATAGCAGAATTATCAAGGTCCTCAGGACTTCATGGTTTTCATGTAATCCCAATGACTTTGGTAAATTTTGCAATCAGATGTGTTTTAGGACCAGTATTATATTACAAATGTTCATATATTCATTAGATTTTCCCCTGCTTTTTGTTTTTTTTTTTACAGAGCATTCCCTTTCTGTGCATTGTAGTCTTTTTGATGTTTGTTTCTGAAGCTTGCACATTCTGTTTCTTCTTTTTTTTTTTTCTTCTCAGCATTAAACAAGTGAGTCATATATGTAATTATTCTAGTGGAACCATTTGCTTGTTGTCATAGACACACTCACCACATTCTGATGCCCATAGGAGGAGATCTATGTAGGCAGTATTTTTTTTCAGCTATCAGCTGGCAGACCATCCATGCGATGACAATATATTGGCTCTATAGCTACTGGTTGTCTTCTTTTATTTATTCGAATGTCTTGTTATGATTGAATTTTGCTCGGCTCTGTGAAAGACTGAAAATGATAAGCTATGATGGTATGGTCTGCTAGTTTGGATTTTATTTTATCTAGATTGCGCAATGCTAAATAATGGAAGTTACAGCCCCATAATTGCCAGTGATGCACCCAGTTAAAAGCATTACTTGTAATTATTGGGCTTTTAGTCAACATGTAGAACAGGGATAATGATTGAATTGGAGGCACTCAGTATTGTACTGTCCTGGAAGATTTTTGGAACTGTAAAATTTCCAGGCAGTAGGCCCTATTCTTCCCTGTGCTGCACTGAGCCATCAGAATACTGTGCATTCTATGGTGCCAGTAGTACAAAATATACCAAAGCTTAGATGTTCCTTTTCAAGGTTGGGCAGATGCCTTGTGTTTTTTTTTTTTTTTTTTTTTTTCTCTTACTAAAAACATCACTGGAATACTTGCCTGAGGATGCAGGTACAGTACATATTGACAGAGGTCCCAGTCTAAAACCTAATACCAGGAAACAATGGCATTAAACTTGCTATTTCCTCCAACAGTGGTTGGCCACTGCTGTATAGTGTTCCCTGGTGATACTCACTCACTAATGCACTAATACATATAGCAGTAAAAACGTGAAAAATGCTTCAACAGTACCTCACTCTAGTAAGCCCCCCCCCCCCCCTCTTCTGGAGTCCCTTGCTTCTTCCTCTTATCCTCTCATTACGCCATGTGCTAAGGGGGCATGCGTGCAGGCGAGCTTCAGAGCTGGGCTTTGTGTGTCCATACAAATGTATGGTAATTAAGCAAGCGCTCTATAGACAGGTAGCAGCTAGAACACTAAAGGAAATCACATGAACCTTAAAATGCAAATGAGTAAATAAAGTGCAGTGCTAGAAAGATAATAAAATCTAGATAAATGAAATATGATAAAATTTAGTTCAATTTATAATCGTCCACTTGACTGAATGTAATATATGGCACCAATGATAACTTCCACAACAGCAGATAGCTCGAAAGCCAGTGACAGAAAATAAATGGCAAAAATGCGCACTCACCGACTGCACATAGGAAATGCGTATATATCTATATATATCTATATAAATAAATAAAATAATATATATATATATATATATATATATATATATATATATATATATATATATATATATATATATCTCCACCAGATGGGGTATGAACAGCATGCAGATGGTGGGCTTCCTTCAGAAGAAAAAGGTCATCAGGCTTGGGTGTAGTGATAATCTGCTGGGTCCAGAGGTCTCCTTTAGGATATGTGGGTATTCAGCCTAGATACAGGGCTCCCTCCTCTGGATATTGGATGGTATAGGAGATTGCTCTGTGGGTTTAACAGCTCCTCCAATAAAGAGCCAAAAAAGTAGGGGTGCCAATAGTGTAGTACTTCAGTAAATTTATTGGATGTATATAGGTTAAAATCATGAGTAAACAAAGGGTGCAGGTACAGTACAAAGTGTAAAATTATTATGAAATGCAGAGTACTGCAGCACTGACCCTCAAGTAAGATGGCCACCGGACCTCCTTGTGGTCTCGGCGGCGAGACCTATAGGAGGAGCTGACAGCGTGTGACGTCATCGCCGCCAAGACCATGAGGAGGTCCAGCGGCCATCTTACTTGAGGGTCAGTGCTGCAGTACTCTGCATTTTATAATAATTTTACACTTTGTACTGTACCAGCCCTGCCCATGGCCAGTGCAGTGGTTCATAAGTACCCCCACAGCACCAGATGATCAGTTGTGAGGATATGGGGGCAGAGGAATGAGAATCTCAGCAAAAATGGCAGACATCACAAGGGACGCGTTTCATTCAGTGTATTAAAGTACTGTCCCTGGTGCTGATTTAAAAAAATAAATAAATGTAAGCTTTAAAGGAAAAATCTAGAATATCAGGCTTTTCCAATGATTTTAATATTTTTTTGAGCTACTGGGGGCAAATATACATATCTAGAGATTTTAAGGCATACTTGTTCTATATCAGTGACCGGAAACAGGAAAAGCTATCACCAGAAGAAAGGCATCAATGGCAGCCTGCTTATTTCTTTCAGTACATGTTTCCTTTTGTCTAATCGTCCCCTAAAGTGATTCTTACACTTTAAAAAAAAAAAAAGAGCTCTCAACAGGTGTGAAGAACAAGCAGCTAGAGGTGCACTTACCTGATGCTTCTCTCCTTGACCTCTGATACAGTCAAATGCTGGACATTTTAAATGGGCTAATTTTCTACATTTCTGGGTAATGTTGGAACTTGTCCATTCCCTCCCACATTCCTATTAGCCCTTCTCTGCCTCTATGGCTAGTTGGAATGGGTGTAAAGATGGCATGCAAGCTCCATCATTACCAGAAAATTCTAGAGCTTTGCGTATTCAGAGTGTCTGACAGCTGGCCGTAGCAGAGGTGAATGAGTCCTACTGCAAGTATGTGTTGCTACCAGATGCTTTTATTTATGTCGTTCATTTTATTGACAGAATCACTCTAAATCTACCTATGGTAAGAGGAAAATTGGAAAATAAATCTAACATTTTCTAATTCTGTTCACTGATGGGAATTAAGCTGTGTGACATAAATGTGTATGTATTTTTTTCATGCAGCATTTATGAACCTGGATAAGAAGGAACCGAAGGGCCTTTCAGTGGAACAACCAACAACCAGAAACAAGAAGAACTATTCTTTCAGCAATGACGAGGTCAGGCACATAGACCGAGAGAACCAGAGATTGTTGAAAGAGCTATCCAGGCAAGCTTCAAAGTCTAAAAGCAAGAGTCTGACCCCGAAAAAACCCAACAGCACCCCATCCCGCCTCTACCATAGCGCTCTGAACAGACAGCGGGAGCAGCAACGCATTGAAAGGGAAAATCTGGTAAGGGCACAAAATCGATGCATTTATTATGTATATCGTTGTGAATCGCCTTCCTATTTTGTCTACCCATCCAGAAATAAACCTGTCATAAGAGAAGCATTAAAGCCTGCTATTGGTGAACTCTTCTCCTGAAAATGCCAGGAGCCTAGCTGTTATTCCAATCCTCCCGATTCAAATTTGAAGTATACAAATAAGGATTTTGTACCTTTTCTGACACTCATGATCCTCATACTTGTTCCAGGTCAGTGATTTAGAAAGTATTGAAGCCAAGGGGCAGCAGCCAAGGAACTAGCTTTTTCCAAAATCAGAAAATGTCAGCCAACATATTGATATGTGTGCTAGTCATAATAGGTTTACTTTGGGTTAGGACCTTCTAGTTATCTATTTCTTAAAATGTCAGTATGAAATCAGGGCAATATCAATCCTCAAAATCCATATAAGACATTCAACCTTCTTATGCTCTCACCAAATTCTTCTGATAATCAAGCGTTGCAAATAAATTCTCCTCTATTCTTCTGTTTACTCTTCTGCTTGTATTACCAGATACAAAAAAGACAAATGTAGGGTAGTATGTTCTTAATGTATAAAATGTGCTCAGTCTCCCAGAATATAATGTATTCCATATATTGTGCTCTTCCCCAATCACCATTAATAATATATACTCCTACCCATAAATTTCATGCGAAACATCTATAGAAGTGCCTTCTCCATTACTCCACCATGGGTCCGTAACCATAGATATCACACCACCAATAGTGCTTCACCATACCCCTTCAGGTCATGCACCTTGTCCTCTCTGTATTGCAAATATGCCTTCTTAATAATATCCCATGCCTCTGTGAAATTCTACACTTTAACTTCTTGTAACTTTTGTGCACACAACATGTGTTTTAAAAAATAAATATCCATACTGCAGCAATACAATAAAAAAACACTCCTTTATTGAAGAGTATTACCTGAATTCCGATATTGAAATGCCTTCTTTAAAATGGCTATGGCAATACTTCCAGTTTGCCTCTGACGTCACTTCCCCACCGCCGCGTTTCCTCACATAGACTTCCTCATAGGCCGTGAATTCTCCTGAAAATACCAGGCGCCTAGCTTTTATTCCAATTCTCCTGATGCAAATTTGAAGTATACAAATAAGGACTTTCACCTTTTCTGACACTCATGGTCCTCATACTTGTTCCAGTTCAGTGATTTAGAAAGTATTGAAGCCAAGGGGCAGCAGCCAAGGAACTCGCTTTTTCCAAAGTCAGAAAATGTCTGCCATCATATTGATATGTGTGCTAGTCATAATAGGTTTACTTTGGGTTAGGTCCTGCTACTTCTCTATTATCTTATAATGTATATAACCTCAAGAACAACCCTTAATACTTCTATGCAGTGGCGGACTGACAACTCATGGGGCCCCCGGGCAATAGGGGATCATGGGCCCCTGTGTCCTTGCCAAAACTCAAAAAAGCCTAAGAAAAAGGTACCAGGAACATCTCATGGGGCCGCCTACTGACCCCGGGCCCTCGGGCAGTGCCCAAGTTTCCAAATGGTCAGTCCGCCCCTGCTTCTATGTATGATGTATAAAGAATGAACTTGAATCTGTTGTGTTAGGGCTGTAAAGCGCAGTGTGTGAATGCTGCCCAATTCTTGAATCATACTCTCCTTTATACTCTGTTCTATCTGGACCTGGTTAATCTATTGAAAATATTCATGAATCTCGATACTTTGTCTTCTTTTAAACTCAAGAAATATGCACAACAAAAGCAAGGAGTACTGTACTGTGCAAGATCACAGGACCACTATTTCTTAAATAAGGTGGTTATTGTGGCACTTTTACCCCCTTCCTGACCAGGCCAATTTTCAGCTTTCAGTGCTATCACACTTTGAATGACAATTGCGCGGTCATGCAAGACTGTACCCATATTAATTTTTATGCATTTTTTTGAGACAGATAAAGCTTTATTTTGGTAGTATTTATTCACCACTGGGATTTTTATTTTTTTTGCTATATAAATGAAAAGTCCAAAAATTTTGAAAAAAAATTTTTCTTATAAAATTTTGCAAATAAATAACATTTCATCATAAATCTTGGCCAAAATTTATTCAGTTATCTTTTTAGTAAAAAAATAACCCAAATTTGTTTATAACCAAAAATTATAATTTAAAAAAAAAAATGTTTTACATTTTTATTTTATTTTTTTATGTTATTTGTGGGTTTTTTTTTTTTTTTTTTTTACATACTGTCACCCTAGCTGTACAGTGTCACCATGGTGAGACTGTACTACTTGTGGGGGGGTGATGATTTTTTTTTTTTTAACACTTGATTGCTTTTACACCCATAAAAGCAATCATTTATCCTTCTCTCTGGCTGCATGCTTGCGGCCATTGAGAAATACTGTGTGAGCTGTGATTGGTCACAGCTTGTCACATGGTACAAGGCTGTTGTGAATAGCCTTGTACCATGTCACATCTGTGATCATTCACAGATTTCACATGTAGTAAGCAAGTGACATCTTGCTTACTACTCTGCATGTGATCACTGATTGGCCAATCAGTGATCATATCAGTGATCATATGATCGGGACCTCACACAGAGGTCCCGTATGACAATCAGTGTTCCACTGTGTCCGGAGGACACAGCGGGCATCGGATCGCGGTGCTATGCGCTCTCAGGGAGCGCGCACAAGCAGGGGGCAGGGCAACCCGCCCCTGCAGTGCCACCATCCGGCCGTTTATATACAACGGCCCGACTGGAGGTGGTCAACATTCTAATAGCATTTTACAGATGGACATATTATGGCCACATAGGGTTAATAACTAATGATAAAAATACATACAGACAAACTTATAAGATTCTCTGGCTTCTTATGGAAATGTTTTTTTTTTCCTCCCAAGAAAATTGTTTTTGATTGTAGTACATCTAACTTGGTGAACAGTAGAGGGCAGCAGAGTAGCACACCAGCAGTTGTTATCCACAATGGCATCCTCCTCCATATTATAAGGGTACTTGACTGGTTTCAGTTTTCTTGCATTTTGATTGCCTACTGGATGGAAAAAAAAGATTTCTCCCCAGTTCACATATATAGGAGTTGGATGTGTTTTGAACCGCATCCGATTTGCATGACGTATGAACCTGTGGCCTTTTCAATGGTGCCGTTACACAAGTGCAGGCCGGCCACAGTGCATTTAAACAGCATCCAGTGCGATTTTGAGCTCGGTTCAAGTGCGATTCCCACTAAGTCACATTGGAGGGGGCTGAAATTCCTCTGTTAAAACCGGCCCTCACATATATGCACTCGGGCTTAATCTATTTATATCTGTGTGTTGCAGAACTCAAATGCTTTTTCTCTTTAATTTTCAGAAAACATAAAAAAAAAAAAGAAATAAAAAAAAATGCAACAGCTGAAATGGGCTTGTAAATACAGATTATGTTCTACTGATTCTTATGTGGTGCATGGCAGTAATATCTGAAAGTATGTAAATGGTAATGACAAATGTGAAAAATGAAAACTCTTCTCTACTCTGGATTTGCAGATTTATAAGTTTGTTTTAAAAGAGAAAAACACATCAGTAGCTCCAAATTTTTAGGATGTAAATATATTCTGTAGGGCTTTGTACAGTTTCAGAGGGGGAATTACATACCCCTTTAAATCCTTCAGATATACGGTATATGTTCAGTTATTGGGCTCTGAAAAGAACAAGCTTGTTTCAGCAAATAAGTTAGTGTTTCTAAACCCCCTACAGTAAAATCAGTCTGTATATGCAGGAAAGCATGCTTGTTATACTCATTGTGGAACTTAAGGGGTTAATCCTCTGCATTGTGTAAAAAGCCTGTTTGATCCTGTCTTCTCTGATCCTCCCCTTCTTCCACAGTCCCCATTTCATCTTCTGATAGAACACAGCCTCGGGGGCACTCTGTATATGCTCAGTTTAGTGTATACTACTAGAGAGTTTTTTTCTTTTTCTTGGGAGAGTGCATGTGATCAGCACAGGGCCAATCTGCACTGTCAGACAGAGGGTCAGGGGTTGTGCAATCTCATAGGGCAGTGAGAGGAGAATGAAAACTCCTCCTACAAGCTTTAACCAGTGTTCTGCTGGACACTGAACGAAGTCACAAGACAGCTCTAACTGCTGAGAAAGGTATTTAGCAGTTTTTATTTACTAATATAATAGCATTTCCATGTTTTGTGTATTGTGGGAGATCAGATATAGTGATTGTAGGGACCTGGGTTCAGTAACACTTCAAGTCTATCCTGGTAAATATGCCAAAAATATCCTCCACCTCATGGGTAGAAATTGTAATCAAGAAACAGTAATACACGATATATATGATTACCTTTTTCTCATTTGTTGTTGGGTTTTTTTTTTTTCATTTTCTAGTAATAGCTGTGCTGAAGGGTAAATCCTTTCCATGGTGCTGGTAATAGTTTACTTCTGTCTGGAACCCACACAAACAGGTTATTGTTGGTCTTCATTTATTGCCACAGGCTGGAGATGGAGAGTGCAAAATCTTGTGCAGCTCTGCATAGAAACCAATCAGCTTCCTGGTTTTATTGTCAAACCTTAATTGAACAAGCTGAAGTTAGAAGCTGATTGGCTACTATGCACAGCTACCCCAAAGTCTGAGCGCCCCAGTTTAAGTACATCTCCCCCTTTTATTTATATTTATTTTTTATTTTCTTTACAGAAAGTACCTTTTACTGATTTTTGTTTCTACATCTTCCAGTGCTTTATTCACACCATCTGCAGCTATAATTCTGTTCCATGGTTTAAATAACTGTTCATAAAATGTGACTGCACCAATTTTAAACTGAACCTATGCTTTGTTCATTCAGGCTAATACATCAGATGTACAGTGCCTTGAAAAAGTATTCATACCCCTTGTCCACATTTTGTCATGTTACAACCAAAAACGTAAATGTATTTTTATTGGGATTGATGTGATAGACCAACACAAAGTGGCACATAATTGTGAAGTGGAAGGAAAATGATAAATGGTTTTC